CTGTAGTCCACGAAAGCTTATGCTCTAATAAATTTGTTAGTCTCTAAGGAGCCACCAGTCCTCCTGTTCTTCTTTTTGCGGATACAGACTAACACGGCTGCTACTCTGAAACCTTAGTTACGAGGGAATAAAATGGACCAGTGGTCCATCTGATCCAGTATCCTGTCATCAGTAATGGCCAGTGCTAGATGCTCCTGAGGAGGGTGCAAGAAATCATGTACACCTCTACCCCGATATAGCACTGTCCTCGGGAGCCAAAAAATCTTACTGCGTTATAGGTGAAACCACGTAATATCGAACTTGCTTTGATCCGCCGGCATGCGCAGCCCCGCCCCCCCGTAGCACTGCTTTACCGCGTTATACCCAAATTCGTGTTATATCGGGTCGCGTTATATCGGGGTAGAGGTGTACTTGGCAATTGTCGGACAGTCTGCCCACACAGGTAAAGTAACTAGACAACTGAAGACCAGTGTCTTGCACAGGGACATTCATCATTTGGCTTTTGCCATGACATATGTGTCTACCACATGATTTTAAAAGTTTAAAAGATAAATCCTCACCTGATGTAAATCTGTATATCTCCACTTAATGGAACTATTCTGATCTATACCATCTGAGGATCTGGCCCAAAGACTTTTGCACTAGTATATTGAATCAATTTGCAGGCGAGACAAACATAAGAAATGAAAGATAAACCTAACAAAGGATTCTATAAATGTTTTTGTTGGTTTAATTAAAATAGTGTAATGTATTCACCATGTGAAAGATAACATTCGGAGTGGGGGTTGTCCTGTGCGCTGAAATTAAGCATAGCACAAAGTAGAAAGATCCTGCAAGCCTACAAAATATACAGTATATTCGTGCTTCCAGTCACATTTTTAAAGTGCCCGTATACTACATACGGGCATAGATTTTAATATTATCAGTTCTGTTTAGCTGCCTCTTCTGAAGAAGTTTGAAGCAAGCCAGTATCTGACTTCTGAACACTCCACAAATGTTGGAAAAGAGACTGAATCAAAAAGGGCAGGGAGTGTGCAGAGTGGTTCACTGGCATGGGAATGGGAGTCTGGAGACCTTATCTCTAGTCTTAACTGCCATTAACTTGTTGTGTGATCTTAGGTCAATTACTTTCCCTCTTTATGCACCTTACCTCATCTGTAATACGGGGTTAATTATGTTTACCAGTCTTTGTAAATATGCTCTGAGATATTTAGCTTTTTTCATTTATAGAAGAGTTAATTTAATTTAGAGCTCATTCTTCTCAGCATCAGGAATTTCTGAAAAGCATGCAAATACACAACCAAATCAAAAATGAATATGAATTAACATATACACAGTATGAATATGTACAAATAAGGTGTAAAATTACAAATAAAGAAAGATTATTATAAGAACAGATTAGAAAAACCAGTTGGAAGCCTCAGCATAGCAAATAATTCATCACTGCAATTCTATTGATATCTTGGCATGCAGTTAGTGGAATGACTAGCATTTCAGATGCTCTCAGGTTGGGATTCTGGACAATTCAGATGAGTACTAAAGATCTGTGTGATTTGGAACAGTTCTTTTCTGGGTATTTTCTGGACAAGAGAAAACTGTTCAGAGAAGGTATGTAGCTGGTACAGTAGTTCAGAATTTGTATAATCTGTCCAGTCTTTATCTGTCCATTTTATGCCTAGAATCTACCAAAGGAAGCATGTTTAATTTTTCCTTAACTTATTACTGAAATTGTAAAGAACTTTATTAATCAAATATTTCCTTATAACAGTTTATATTTAGAATCCAGTACTGCATGGTTTTGAACTTTATTTATCATTTGAAGGTATTCTAGGACTTCTGCTGCTTTCATACATCATAAGATCAGACTTTGTTTCTTCACCTAATCAGCATATTCAGCAATCCTAGGCAGTATCGCACCATATGTTTTTACTACTGTGATCTGTTTTGAGGGCACTTGCTTAATCCAAATACAGAATAATTAATACCTAGCATTTTTCATCCAAGGATCTAAAAGTGCTTTACCAAGACAATTAAGGATTATTATCCCACCTTTATAGATACAAAAAGAGATTAAGTCACTTGGCCAAGGTCACACAGAAAATCTGTGGATGAGTCAAGGACAGAACCCCAGTTGCATGCTGAAAACACCAGACACCATGCTTCACACTGTGAAGGTTGAAAATTCCCTCTTACCGCCATCTCCGCCTCCAACAGATGTTTGAGTCAAAATGGTACATTTTACAGAAGTGCACAAATGTTTTAGAACTGAAAACTATTATAACTCTTAAGTGAGTGTCAAAAACCTTTACAACTATTTAATATATGTAAATGGATGAAAGATAAGTAACTTAAGTAGGAATGTCCTCTACAGTGGAAGAAACATTTCATCTAATGTATTGGAGCTCAACCTAACCTTGTAATGTTATTTTGTTTCGGAATAAGAATGTACCTGTTGCTATTAGTATGAAGTGAACAAACAGGAAGATTATTGTTGGATTTTCTTTTTGCAGCCACATACTTTAAATAGTAAAGTGCCTGTAATTTACCATTAAAGCCATTTCACTGGCAATAACGTAATTCACAGCTGTCTAGAATTATAATTTTGCAAGGCAAATACATTCATTTCTGGCTCAAGTGGACATTTTAATATACAAGGTTGGACTAGAGCCGGTAAACAGTAAATATTTTCAATAGAATAAATAATTTTTACAGAGTTTAATTTTTTTCATTATAATAGGTTGATAAGGATGCTTTGGATACTCAAATCAATGATAAGAAGATTCAAGAGGCAAATGAGAAAGCACGACATGAGACAATTGGTATATTTATTGCTATATAAAGAATACAATTTTATATTAGTATATGTAAACATTTGTACGCTGTTTTGCAATCTTTTCTCTCCATTTTCTCCTTTTTAAATGTTTTCACCAGTCTTTTCCTGAATATTTGCTGCCGTGGAAATATAGGCCAAGATGTTAAAAATTGGTACCAAAAGTTAGGCACCTCTATAAGTGGTCTGAAGCCTACTCCTGGGGGAATTCTGCGCAGCTCTGCATGCACATAATTCATGTGCTGCACATCATTTTTTTCCCCCCACAGGCAATAACTTCTGCCAGAAAGTTGCTGCAGTTATGCTTTTTGCCTACCAGGGGTTGGTGTGGCACTAGAACAGAGCAGCCACTCCCGAGCAACCCCCAGCTGCGATAGGGAAGGGAAGAGGATGCCTTCTTCACAATGCTGGTGGGGCTAGGTCAGGAGATAGGGGATATGAGGGGACAGACAGTGTGGGGCACATGGGGCTGCTGGGGGGGGTCACAAATGGGGGTTCATAAGGGTTATTGGGGGAGGACACACTGGGGCAGGGGCTGAATGGGAGTGGAGGCACAGAGCCACATAGGGACAGGGGGAGGGATGCAGGGACACATGGGGGAAGGGGAGTGGCTGAGTGGGGCCAGATGGGGAAAGGGGGAGGGGATGAAGGGCCACATGGGGAAAGGGGGAGGGGGTGGCTGAGTAGGGGCACAGGGCCACATGGGGATGAGGAGGAGGTGCAGGGACACATGGGGAAAGGGGTGTCTGAGTGGGGGTACAGGGACATGGGACAAGCGGGTGCAGGGACACATGGGGATTGGAGGAGAGGGTGCAGAGACACATAGGGTGACTGAGAGGTGCAGAGACACATAGGGTGAGTGAGAGGTGCAAGGGGACAGGGGAAGATGTGTCTGACTGAATGGGAGAGGCCAGGGGTCAGCCAGAGTCTGCCTGGGGAGGCTGCCTAACAATTCTTCCCGGCCGCCCCCCCCAAAACCTGTTCCATATTTCTCCCATCCACACCCAACAACCCTCCAGGTTCACTCACAGGCTCCTTCCTTTTCCCTCAGCTCCTCTGTTACCCCTGACTCCCCCAAGCCTTTGCACTGCTTCTGGGAGGGGGGGCTCACAGTTCTGTATTGTAGTTGAAATGAATTACACAAAGTTCTGTATTTATATGCCTAGTAAGGAATCTATTTGACAAAAAACATTTCCTGAATCTTTTTCATTGCCTGTATTATTAAAGACATACTTGCTGACAGGTATTTTGAAATAAGTTACCAGAATAATTGAAACTGGTGTGATTATATTGTGTTATTTTGACAAATAAAATATGTAGAATTTTGCAGAATTTTGAAATATTATGTTTAGAATTTTTAATTTTTTGGCACAGAATTCCCCCAGGAGTAGAAGACAACGGGAAGTGTTGGCTTTTCAGCCCTTTTGAAAATCAATTTAACTTAAAACATATCAGTAGTCCCAATGAACCCTGTGCGGAAAGTTAAGCTTATGCATAGGGCTACGATTTTGTCACAGAGGTCACGGAATCTGTGACTTCCAGAGACCTCGGTGACTTGAGCTTGCAGCGCCTGGGAGCTGCAGGTCCCCCCATTGCCCGTGGTGGCTGGGAACTGAGAGGCCCCAACTCCCAGCCACCAGGGGCAGAGCAGGGAGTGTCCTGGGAGCTCTCAGCCGCTGTGGGCGGTGGGGGTGCCCCACAGTTCCTGGTTGCCATGGACAATGGATGCCCCGCAGCTCAGAGCCCCGGGCAAAGGCCCTGCAGCTCCCTATTTGTCATGCATATTTTTAGTAAAAGTCACGGATAGGTCACGGGCTTCCATGAATTATTTTTTATTGCCTGTGACCTGTCCGTGATTTTTATTAAAAATATGCATGACAAAATCTTAGCCTTAATTATGCATAATACTTTAAAGGATCAGACTTAGGATCCTCACTTTAGGCACTCATTTTGAAAGCATATGCTGTAGGAATCACCTACCGCTGTATCAGCAAATAAAGATACATATGCACTAAAATGGTAATAGTTATCTGAGTAAATTTGTATTTCCTTGGTTCCACATTTAGTTTCTAGATATAAATTAATTTCATAAACCTTGTCCATATGTGAGCACATGACTGATTATGTTTTTCCCTCTTAATTCAGACATACAAAAATAAATAGGATATACTTTCTATTTCACCTTTGAAACAATATCTATCATCACTTGAGGGGGAAAAGATTTTTTTTCCACACTGGGTAAATATTGCCGTACCTACTTAGGTGAAACTTCCACTAAAGTCCATGGAAGTTTTCTATCAATAAGGTCTTTAGGGTTTAGCCCACTCTTTATATTTGGATTTTTTTTTATAGTACATCATGTATATGCTACATGCCATTAGGAAAGTGTATTTTAATTAATCTGATTCGGGGGTGGGGGTGTAAAGTACTCATCAATTTACTTGGGGAAGGCTGTACAGTTCTGCAAATATTAATAGAACCTGTGCCACTGAAGCACATGCATTGCAATAACTCTTTACTCCTAGAGGTGCTCATTATGGACAGCCATCTGTATATAGATTATTTGTGATAGAAACATAAATAATCTATACCAGGGTTGTGAGTAGGAGCCATTGCTGAGTCGGGGCATACACACATAATTATGCTGACCACATCCCCTGACCTCGAGGCTGCACCATGGTTTACCGTGGTTGGAATGCCCCTCTATGGTTTCATTTACAAAGGGCCCACAGAGTAACCTCTCTGTGGGTTCAAGAATTGCCAAAATATAGTAGCCAGCTTCCGCACTGCACAGCCGCTGCTGGTCATGATTTTCCTGGCAGGCATTGATTCACAATATCTAACAGAATTTGCCCTTTAGGAAACTTCCAGAACACACGCATTCTGACAGAGGCAATGATATTTACTTGTGAATTATAATTAAACTGTTAGACTGTGTACTCCGTGGGATGGGATCAGTTGCAATGTTGGAACTGGAGGAGGGAATTAACAATAAACTCTCCAAAAAGGGATGGTGTTTGCCAGTATTTTTTCCAAGCTATATCATTGGTGGTACATCATTTTAGAGCTCATGATTAGTTATTTTTATAGTTTCTTATGTTCCTAATAAGTAACTGTGTTTCAGTCACTACTGCAAATTAGTAGTAGATGCTGAGGAATTGCTCTACAGTACCTAGGATTGATATGCTACACAAAATGTGATAAAATAGACCTATCTAATTTTATTAGCAGTCTTATCTTCTGTCTTTATTTTATGTATATTTTTTTATTATATTTTCCAGCAAGTTTCTGGTGCCAAAAGTGATTCTTAAAAATTGAGAGGTTTTATAATAGTGCTATTCAATCAGTTTAGAAAAATCATTTGCCAGCTTTGACCTTCTAAATGACTTAAGTCTAGTAGATTTATTTTCTAGTCTTTTTTTCAAGATCACATTCTTCATTTTTTACAACCCCCTGTACATTTTGAATCTCGCAGTTTCACCTTGTTTATAATCTTTTTGTAGCTGGTGAAATGAAGCAAAATGACAAGATCATCTGTATGTTAGAAGAACGACAGAAAGAGGACATCAAAAACCTAAACAAAGCTGTCACTGAGTTTCAACAGAATTTTCAGAAGCCAGAAACTCGGCGTGAGTTTGATTTGTCTGACCCACAGGCCCTGAAGAAGGATACTCCTGCTCGCCTCTCTGATAATGACCCTCGATGTACTATATCTGGCTTGCAGAAGTTTCTAGGAGAAGATTTAAACCATGATCGGAGGGTGAAATTTCAAAAGGAGCAGTCAAGAGAATGGTCTCTACAGCAACAGAGAGACTGGAAGAATGCATTAGCAGACCAGAAATTTGCAGGTAACAAACGAAGGTAGAAGTTTGATTTTCATGCTCTTTTTTTTTTTACAAGTTCTACTGTGAATAATTCGCAAAACTGTAGAATATCCCATTATGCCAGTCTGTGATATAGGAAAATTTCAGTGTATTCAATACTCATTTCATAAAAGTGCTGTTGGAATTTTAACTTCACATAGACATCCTCTACAGACTGACAAAAATGAACTTGTTTTAACGTCTCAGTTAAAGTACCTGTATTGAGAACTTATGATGATCCCATGAATTTCTAATCTTCTTTTCCCCTATACACCTGAAATTGAGAGACTGAGTGGTTTAAAAAAAGCTTGTGTATTTTCAATGTTTGATTCAATGAAGTCAAGGTGGTTGTTATGCTTTTATACTAATGTTACAGTAGATAAAATGAAGCTCTGATTTATTTTTTAGTTTCTGTCCTGAAAAAAAGTGTTTTCTGGGGATAGTTACAATATTTTTTAAAAACATTGTCCAAACAAGTTTTGAACAAAAGAGTAAATAAAGTTTGCTTCGTTTTTTACATTTCTAACCTGGATTGCTTGATATGTTAATTTACTGACTCATTAAATATTCTATGATGACAAACCTTAGCCATGGAATTTGGAAAGGGATACATGAGGTGGCTTTCTGTTTAATATTATGTGAATAGTTCATCAGCTAACAACTGTTTTAAAATGACAATTATATATGCATGGATGATCAACCTTATCAACTAAATTCTGTTTTAATCTAATTTAGAGGATCTCCATGACAAGAACAGGATAGACCTAGATCAAAAGGCTATGGAGCTACAAAGAAAAGACGTAGAAACCAGACAAGCTGTTTGTGCAGCTACCAAGGATTTTAATAGAACCCAGGTAAATTAATATTGGTTATAAAGAGGAAGGAATTGAGCAATTATTTTTTTTGAAAAGTCATGTAACAAAGTACAATGAGTAATGATGTTGCCAAAAAGATTTGTCAGCAATTGAGTTCAAATGTTATTTTAGTAATCAGAAAATACGTTTTATGCACTTCTCTAAAGATATCCTCGGCCAGTTTCCAGGAGCCAGCAGGGGAAAATGTCTGCCTAGACTGGAGCTTTTGCTCAGCCTCACTAAAAACTGTCAACATCCACTTGTACTAACACCACAGTTTTTTGTCTCTGCATGGCTCATCCTGCTCTTTAACATCATAGTAGCAAATGGATCTGGTTTTGAACTCCCCAGACTCACCAGAAATTGTGAAGAATCAGAGGGTCTCTGATAGCGCTGTGCATGGCAGCATGGCAGCATTCGAGAAGGAGTAAGTTTACAGTAGGCCTGGAGCAAGTCTACAATATGATAAAGCAGATAGCTGAAGAACAGATCCTGCTTATGAAAATATCATAGCAGGGGTTCTCAAACTGAAGGTCAGGACCCCTCAGGGGGTAGGGAGATTATTACATGGGGGGTCGTGAGCTGTCAGCCTCCGCCCCAAACCGCGCTTTTCCTCCAGCATTTATAATGGTGTTAAATATATTAAAAAGTGTTAGTAATTTCTAAGGGGGATTGCACTCAGACGCTCGCTATGTGAAAGGGGTCACCAGTTAAAAAGTTTGAGAACCACTGTATCAGAGAATATCTCTGAAATTAAAACCATAACTGCAGCACACCAGTTCAGTTTGCAGGGGCTAATCTCCAGGATCAGGGAGGCAGAAGTTAGAAGACAATATGAACTCTATTATGATCCGTGCAGACCAACCATGTCTGATCCAAAAGCTGAAAGATAGAATCGATCTGTAAGGACAGTCCAGAAGAAATAATTTGAGGGTGGTTGGATACCCTGAGGAAATGGGAAAAGACCTGTACAACTTTTGTGTAAGACACTATTTGAGATTCTTTCCTTATACCCAGACACAGAGCTGAATATAGAAAGGACCCATTGCTCCTAGCCCCAAACCCTCGACTAATTCCAAGCCAAGCATTTATATTAAATTTTCCAAAACACAATGTGAAAGAATCCATTCTTTAAAAAAAAAAAAAAAAAACCCTAGAGAAAAAGGAAACCTGAGCTGGAAAGGGCATAGAATAGTGGTATTTCCCAACTACAGCCAGGAGGTAATTGAAAAAAGAGCCCTATTAAATATGTCAAGGAAGCAGGCCAAGGAGAAAGGACTGACCTATTTTATAGCCTTCCAAGCTCTTTTTAAGATCAAGGTGGATAGCCAGGCCCTTAGCTTCTCTAAACTGGGAGTAGCAGAGAACTACATTGTATTGTTTTTCTATAGAACCAAAATTACATTGCCATGGGATTTGCTATTCAACACTTGTGATGCTGGGTTGTTGTTGACAGAAGTGAAGGGACCCAGAGAAGTGCCCACCTCAGCTCTGTACCTCCCATATCCTCCATTGTACCCATATTTAAAGCCAGGCAGAACCATCAGACATTCATAGACTCAAATCAGCACAACACATCCCACTGAGCAAGAATCCGGACCAACCTGACTCCAGTGGAGACAGTAACTATATCCTATACACTCTTTGAAACACCAGGTTGATTGCTTTGCTTAACAAACTATACGAATTGCAGTTGGTCATCTATCAGTCCAGATCTCCTGACTGTATTTCTTCTAATAATGGTTATGGGCTTTTTTCCCCATTGGTTTTGTGCTTCCAGAAGGAAGAGGAGTGGGGTGTGGGAAGGGTTGCTTTACTTAATGCTTTTAAGAACAGCATACTGGTAATGTATTCCATTTAAATTGCAGATGTTGATATTGGGTAACGTTCACAGGGATGAGGGCATTATTTCACTTCCGGTGTGTTTTTAAAGAGCTGGCCATTGGAGAGCCATACACTGGGATTTTGGACCGACCTGTATATAGGAGGTGGTAAAGTAGTTTCTTGTTTCTCATCCCTCATTTTTCCAGTGGATCCACAAGCAGATATATGTCTGGTAGGACTCTAGCCTCCGATGCATAGTTATGTGCATTTAGACCAGAAACCTTATTTAAAATGTATTCAGCAATGTTCATCCTTTCCCCCCTTATCTCCTGCCTTTTGTGTGGGGAAGCACCAAGGGGCAGGATTGGGCATATTCATATATTTTGCATTTGATGTGGAACAGAGAGGATGTGTTCATTCAGGCTACCCCTCTAACTTCCTGATTTTTTTTATCCCACTCTGACTTGAGAGCATTGGTCTTTCACGCCTTTGCCTTATTTTACAACCCCCTATCCTACCTCCTCTTAACTCTTTCTTACCTACTTAACCTCTAGCCACTGTAGCTTCTCTTCTCCATCTAAATGCCTTTGTGACCAGTGTCCCAGGGGGGCCACACTGAGGTTATTTAGTTAGGGCAAACTGTAAAGAATGGGGCAGACCATCCCCAAAGCTGGTGGATATTTCAATATTCTATCAAGCCAGCAGAAAACAGCTTCTACAATACCTTACTGGTTGCACAGAAGCCAAACAGTTCCCTTATAGCAACCCAGCCTTGGACTTCCACCCAGACACCTAAGTCAAATATGATGAGGATTACTGAAAATCTTATTCATCATGTAAGAAAGTTCTACTAATCCCAAAGGCTCGGACACATTACCTCCCAAGTTAATGAATATTTCAGATCTTGCCCAAATAGACGCTTACAGCCGATTCTTATTAACTGAACTTAAATTTATTTAAAAGAAAAGAGTATATTAATTAAAAGATCAGTATACATACAAACATAAGTACAGTTCTGAGATTAGTTTCATAGTAGAGATGGTGAGCTTTGGAGTAGCAAAGAGTTTTTAGAATTAGTCCATAGATTCAGTACAATGTTCATTTTCAGGGTGATCCAGGTGGGACTGGAGATCTCAGTTTTATGCATAAAGTATCAAGCAGATCTGAGAGAAAAAGGATCATGACCCAAGGGTTTTTTATACAATTCCAGGTGTTCTCTTGACAGTTCAGAGTTCTTAGGCGAACAACAGACAATCATTGAGACTCTGAAGGAGACCTATTTCTGAAGCATCACAAGTAATTAGCTACACAGATTAACATAAAGCAATTGCCTGTTTTCCACCATTTGCAGGTGATTTGCTATATACTTCAAAGAGAAATCAAGACAGTGATATCACTATATTTGCAGTTCATTTAAATGTTAAGATTTCCTTTGATCCCTGAATTAACAGAATCCAGTATAGACAGGAAATTTTCAATTACATTAACCTTTAACAATATATATTACTCCTGGAGGAATTTTTGCATCACAGCGCATGCACAGAATTCATGGCCCCCCACAGATTTCTTTGCTTCCCTGCAAAAAAATGACTTCTGATGAGGAAGCAAAGGGAAGCCACAAGAGCAGTCACGCATGCCTCCCCGGCAGTGCAGGCAGGTTGGTTTGGGTGCCCGGAGCAGCCGGTAGAGACATAAATCACCGCTGGGGCAGGAGGGCTGGGCAGTTGTGAGTGTGAGAGAGACACTCTGACCCTCTCGCTCACTATTGCGGCACACTCAGCATGGAGGGGCAGGGCTTTGGGGTGTTTCTGGGGAGGGAGGCATGGGACAGGTTCTGTCCACTTAGGCAAAACAGAATGTAGCAGCCTGCCTGCTTAGTGAATTGTTCCCATTGTTCTTAGTGAACCCCCCAGGAGTATAAAACAGGTGTAAAAAATTTTTAAGACTCCTTTGCATTGCCAAAGTGGTGTAAAGGTGCCTTATTGTAAAGGACTGTGAGGCCTTATAAATGCTTATGGTGCTTTAGTGATTAGAACTGGTTTACATTTTTGGACTGAAAAAATTTCCTATCAAAGTGTGCTCCATCAATTGTTTGCTACTGACCTTTCTGGAGATGGTCAGGAGCTAATATAAATTGTGAATTTGATTCCCCAGCCCTCACTTGCTCATCAGTTGCTATGATGTAACACTGAGCATATGGCTGCATATATTTGTTGATTAATAACTAGAAGTAAAGGGTCGATACTAGCTACATTACTATTAGACAGAGAGGGTATGGGGATTTCCTCCAATGCTCCCCATTCTCATCCTTCATCCATTGTATTGTAGTTTAAATAAATTACCAAAATAATTGAAACCAGCATGATTATATTGTTATTTTAACAAATAAAATATGCATTATTTTGCAGAATTTTAAAATATTGTGTGCAGAATTTTTAATTTTTTGGTGCAACATTTTTAATTTTTTTTGGCACAGAATCCCCCCCTGGAGTAATATATGTAAACACACAAAAACATTATCTACCAATATGTCCCTAAAGGTTGAATTTGGGTCATTTATCCTGCAGGATGCTTCACCCTTTCTGGCCACGTTTTTCAGCCTTATGAACCCTTGTAGGTATTCTTCAACCTGGACTTCTCACCCTAGCTGTACCTCTGAGTCTTAGTGGGCATGGCCTAAGATGTTTTTTGGGACACTTCCCCCTGTGAGTACCTATGGCTAATTTATTTAAATATGTTTCTTGGAACATAAAAAGGAATGTTAACTCTATAAGAAGGAAAAATATGAGTCTCACTTTAATGAACTGTAAATGGATATAATATTCCTCAAGGAAACCCATCTCATTGAGTCTGAGGTGAAAAAGCTTTAAAAAGACTGGATTGGTAGTGATGCTTTTAGTAATTAAGCAGCCAAGGCTGGGGGCAGGAGTGTCAATCCTGTTCAGTAAAACCTGAAAACACACAAATCCTATCAACTGATAAGACACGTAGGGAAGATTCTTAATTGTTAAAGTTTGCATCGCCGACATTACATACACTCTTGTAAACATCTATGACCCTAACAGAGATGATTCCTCCTTTTTCAATTACTTATTTTCAAAATTGATTCCTTCCTAGAAAAATTGATTATAGTGGGGGACTTCAACAAGTGTTAGAACTGCTTTTGGACAGGTCAA